CTCGCAGGGCTAGCGGTGGCACCGGCCTGTTCAGCAACTACACATCGTTACATTCTCCTCAGATGCCCGCCGAACCAATGCGACAAGAAAGCGCAAGCGACAGCGACTACGTGGGTATGGACGTTGGTACATACGGTGGCGGATTCACGCCGTCTTTCAACTATGGCGGGGATCCAAGCCAGCTGGCAGCGGGGGGAAGCCATACAGTATCAACCTCAGGCTCGCAACGACGGTCCGACCCTCTCAACGACGACTACGACCCGATCCATCCCTTCCCATCCTTCTCGAGCAATGCGCGCGTTGACACATTCGGTACCGGTGGTCTGGAAGAGCCTAGCGCACGCCGGCGGAGCTACGACGAAGGCGATGAGGTCACACTCATGGATAGCGCATCTACCCTCTCTGGCTCTACACTCATGGGTCCATCAGCGGTGATGCCAGGCGAGCCACCAGACATGTTCTATCATCCGGGCATATCGAACCGGCCTCTGCCACCACCACCAGTAAATACCGGCAGGGGTTCAAGATTGAATCACCAAAGCAACAGCTCGACTGGATCCGGGTCGTACGAATACTGGCGTAACGCTCCAAATACACAGCGTTCTTACCCGGTGGATCCAAACGCTATGCACATGATATCTCCTACTGGAGCTCCCGTTCCCCGCTCGACTTCTCTTCTACAGCACAGCAACGCTCGGGATGCCATTCCCTTGCCGCGATCGAAGACAGACGCCGAACAAGGTCACAGACCTCGAGCTGCTGGCAACCGAAACACCTTCTATGGCGGTGCCATGGACAGCGACGGCAACACCCTTACCCCTGGCAGCGCTGAAGCCGTGGCCATCGATCTACCTACCATCCCAGCCGGCAAGCGATTCAATCCCGCCAAGCTCTCTAGTATCGACTTCAAGAAATGCACTGAGCCCTGGGCACTTAGCTCGATCATCTCATGGCTCAAGAGTATGACCGAAGGCGAGAACGACCTTAAGGAAGGCCCAATACAAGAAGGTCTCATCGCGCTCTTCACTCACAAAGTTCCCACCATGAACATTGCGGATGCCGAGACGCTCAGTAGCCGGGTAGTGTCTGAGATGTACAAAGCAGGCACACTTGTGCACGAGGAAGAATGGCTTAGGTTCTCGACCGCAAGCATGACTGGTGTGATATTCCAGCTCACTGGCGCGGGCTGCTATGCACCTATGCTGCACACGCATGCGAGTCCAGGCCGATGCTACTCGCACCACTGCCAACGGACACTTAAGAAGATCGATCTACATGCCCCCTCCGCTGCACCTCGTTCAGAAGACTGGGCCACGTTCTACAAGTTGAAGAAAGAAGACATTGAAGGGGCAAACAAGAAGGAAATCGAACGTCAGAATATTCTGCACGAAATCGTCCAGGGTGAGGACAAATACATGAATCGACTTGATGTCTTACGACACTTGTACCGCGACAGACTACAGTCTGCTCAGCCACCGGTCATTTCCCCCAAGAGGGTCAACAGGTTCATCCACGATGTTTTCAGCAAGGTAGACGCTGTACGAAAAGCGAACGAAGACCACCTCCTCCCGCAAATAAAATACCGCCAACAAGAGCAAGGACCATGGATAGTAGGGTTCAGCGACATCTTCCGCGAGTGGATCCGAAAAGCAAAACAGGCCTACATCGAATACGCAGCAGCTTTCCCATATGCATCCTTCCTTGTTCGACAGGAAGCGGACCGAAACATACTGTTCCGCACCTTCTTGGATGATGCCCAGAAGCACAAACTTTCTGAGAAATTGGGGTGGGACACTTATCTGAAGGGCCCCATCGACAGGCTGCAGCGCTATGGTCTTCTCATCGACACGGTAATCAAATATTCGACTGTGGACAATGAGGAAAAACGAAACCTCCAGATAGCCAAAGACGAGATCAAAGCCGTGACTTTGGAGTGCGACAGCCGTGTAGCAGAAATGGGCCGAAAAGTCAGCCTTACCGACCTGCAGGCCAAACTGATCCTGCGCCCAGGTATGCAGCGAGTAGAGCTCAACCTGGATCACCTGGGACGAGAACTCATTTTCCGAGGTGATCTGCAGAGGATGGGAGGCAGTCGGTTCAACTGGCTTGAGACCCATGCATTGCTATTTGATCACTACTTGGTACTAGCAAAGACAGTTGCTTTCCGAGAAGCAGACGGCGTCACCAAGTCTGAGAAGTATGACGTGTCAAGATTACCGATTCCCATGGATTTACTAGTACTTGAGAGCGAAGACGATGACCCCGTTGTGCGCTCTACCATGAAGGGTATATCTACCGTCACTACAGTCTCAGGACGAGTCGGTTCTGGGGTCGCCACAAGAATCAACAACAGCCCTGTACCCGGTGGTCTGCAACACACTAACACCTCCAACTCACTTGGGTCGAACAACACCACCGGGTCCGGGAAGACCATGGTCAATGTCGCCTCAAACGATTCTACAAGAGACGAGAAGATCTTGTATCCATTCCGGGTAAAACACTTGGGCAAGGAGACTTACACTCTGTATGCACCATCAGCATCAAATCGTGCTGAGTGGTGCGACAAGCTCATCATTGCGAAGACACGGCATGCAGCTGCTCTATTCGCTCAGAACGCCGAACCTTTCAAGTTGCGTGTCATGGCTGATGCGGCCTTCGCATACGACAGCGCGATGCCATCGCAACGAGCTATAACTATCAAGGGAACACCACTCGATCGCGCAGTCGACGATGTGGAGAAGCTTTTCGTCAACGTTGGGCGGCCCGTACCCATCTGCCGCGCCCGAGTAAATTGTGCAACAGCATTCAGCCAACCCTATGGCAAGCACATGATAGCCGTCGGTACAGACATTGGAGTTTATGTATCGGAGTTTGATAACCCCAGAGGCTGGTCTAAGGTAGGCGTTGTCTTGACAACTTGGTGATATTATGCTAATAATCACAGGCAATCCAAGTACCACGTGTGACGCAGATAGCCGTCTTGGAACAATTCAGCTTGATGCTGCTCATCTCCGATAAAGCACTGATAGCATACCATCTCGATGCCGTATGCCCAGTAAGCGGCGTGGCTCCCTCAAACGATTCTACACGGCGAGCACCCCAAAAGCTGTCGGGTGCGCGCGACATCGGCTTCTTTGCCACTGGCGTAATGAAAGACAGGACCTTAGTGTTCTACAAAAAGCGCGACGGTATTTCGTCGACCTTCAAGGTCCTTGAACCTGTCTACCAAAAGTCAACCGAGAAGAAGTCCAGGATATGGAAGTCAGGACGCACGGAGTTCTTCCGCGAATACGACGAATTTTACATTCCAGCCGAGTGCTACACAATCAACCTCTTCCACTCATCGCTCGCTATCTCCACAGCCAAAGGCTTTGAGGTGCTCACCCTCGACAAGAAGCAGCCGTGGTCCGTACCGGATCTGAAGCAATCCCATGTTGCCACCATCGCCTCGCGATTGCAGAACCAGAATCCTCTGGGTATGTTCCGTCTTTCCGATCAAGAATTCCTTCTTTGCTACGAAGAGTGCGCCGTGTACATCAATAAGAACGGTGACATTTCACGATCCGTCATCATGGAGTTTGTTGGTAAAGCGAAATCCGCCGCGATGTACGGACCCTACGTCCTCCTGTTCGATCCCGACTTTGTCGAGATCAGGAACGCACAAAATGGTCGTCTACGCCAAGTCATTGCTGGACGCGACGTCAAGTGTCTTGACGACGGACTCAGCGGAGGTTCGAGTCACAACAGGACGGTCAAGTTGAGTTTGCAGCATCCGCAACACGAGAGGAGCCAGGTTGTCGTTGAGCTTGTGCTTAATGAAGGGCAGAAGGAGTAAGGAGAGGATTATATACGGATATTCGGATGGTTTGCTGTGCAGCACTATAATTTCTACGGCGATACAACACGCTGCATGTACAGTGAGCAGGTGGAGTTACGGAGTCAGAACCTTGGGAGGCTGGCTATGGCTAACGCCCGGGTGTGACGCGATAAGCTTCGGGCGACTTGGCGCTCTTTTTTGCATATTCTTAGGCTATTGTTCTTGTTCTTGTTCGCGCGAAGGATACCTGATTCGTTTTTGCGGATGTTTTGGTCTTGTGGGTGGCTAGTTGTGCATGTATTGATGACGTCTGTGTGTCGAAACTTGCGGTCGAGCTTAGATAGTTGAATATGGTGATTACTTTACCATAGCATAGATTTAGCTCTCGACATACTGCTGCGCAACATTTTCTCGCTCAACCTTCCTCTCTATCCGCCGACAACTAGGATACATATTGCGGCGCAGCATATTAGCCTTGTTTTACTTCAGATGATGCACATCAATACCTATCTTGACCTGCTTTTCTGTAGGCCATAAAAGAGGTCGCAGGCTTGAACGAATCGCCTGGTTGCTGCAGGGTCGATAGTGCGGTCCGCGCCGTAATACAACAGGAAATCGCCGTGCCGCGTGACACGTTGTGACCATCCAAAGCCAAACAGAATCCATGCTAGGAAGAGTGCAGTACATTCGTCCCAACGAGGTCACTTCGAGGTACCCCACTGTCAAGCATAGGTACCATACAAGATGGAGAGGCTGCAATCTAGCTGAGGAACCAATGTAACTTCGTCATGTCGGGAACTTGGGATTGGGAACGATGCACGGTATGCGGTGCTATTCTGAAAGATTGAATACCGACTAAACAAGATTCAGAGCAACTGCCTCTCATACACAGTCGCAAACCCAGGTTTCTACGATGAGCTGAGCTGTATCGCCAGCGATTTCTACTGCATGTGCAGAGAAGTGGCGTGGGTTGAACGACTAGTCAATGGCGATGTTACACCACTGGCGTGCATCTCAGAGAATTGCGCAGAGCCCGCAAAGATAGGTATTGCCGTGAACTCTCAGCAGTGCATCTAGAAGCTGGCTGACTTTTTATAGCCTTCGCTGCCTCCGTTTCGCTCGAGTGCAGTAACCATGGTCTTGATATTGATACACTGATCGCAACGGACAACATACTCCTGACTTATTTTGATGCGCAACCAGCATCCACATCCGTGTCTCCACTATCTACGAGCCCAACGGAAGCATCCACGTCCGCGTTTATTCCCACGACTTCCTCGATGCTTACGATTATACGGCCTTCGACTAGACAGCCAGTTTCCACACAATTGGCCGCCGAAGGCGCGGATACGAAAAGCGAAGGGCTCGGTGCGGCCGCGACAGGGGGACTCGCTGCCGGGATTACAGTTGCTGGTCTTGCAGTGGTCGCACTGATAGCATGGTTTGTCATCCACAAGAGACGTAAAGCAGCTCAAAATAGGGAAACGCCTGTGGTGCCGTCAATGCAACCAGATAGCTCGAATGAAAAAACGGACTACGATCCTCACCAGAACCACGAACCTACCCACGAACTACAAGGAGATGATCCGCCCACCATGCATAGTCACACAAGCAATCGGATGTCCGAACTTGACTCAATACGGCCTCCGTCAGAACTTGATTTGAACAGTCCAATATCTGAGCTCAGTTCGAATCAAACGGATCACGATCGCTGGTCGGCCAACACGCCCATGCCAACGAGTCCTTCAAGCCTGCCGGATGTGCAAGAGGATGAAGAAACGATTTCGATCTCGCAACCTAGTAGGTTCAGCCATATCCGGGCTGCCATGGCTTCGAAAAGCCATCGGCGGTTCAGCTCTGTCTAGCCTTGTGTTCGATATTCTTGGCGATACTGCTCATGGGGGATGCTGAACTGGTAGCCTTCGTTCGACTGCGTGACGAAGCAAACGTGTAAATAGTGTTTCCGGGTATAGCAGTCGGGGATCCTAAACGAATTGCATGTGAGACGTTCGTTGACGTCTTCCGCCAATACTTAGACTTTACGCACCATGCCCTCTTTTTCCAGCCACTTCCTTCTGTTCCGTTTCATAAATTATTTCCTGCTCTTTATTCTCATTGACACGGAAATATGGCCGAGGCGGCCAGTCCTCAATCGCTTCGTTGCATCGTCACAGTGACCGCGCCGATACCACCGCTTCCAACCCAGTCCATTTCAGAACAGCACACCTTGACAATGAAGTCCAGTACATTTTACTCTAGCTCGACAGAAATACAGTCTTGTATGGCGTCTTCTTCTTCCGTGACACCCTTGGGGACATACATCGTGGCGACAGTAATGAGTGTCTTTGCTGTAGTGACGTTCGCGTCATTGATGGCGTGTTTGAGGAGACGATGGAAGATGAATAGGCGAAGGCTGGGGCATGAGGATTGAGTTCTGGGCGTGGACTTCGAAAGGGGAAACTTGCTCAGTCATCAATAATAGTCGCACGAAGAAGATCCGGGACTGAATCTACCCTCAGGCGCTAGAAGCTTGCGCCCGGTGACTGGAGTCGAAGACTGACATCTGTAATACCCGATTGAGTTGGCAGTTCTTCCACTTGCTCTTTCATGCTGGGTCGATCGGCGAATGCGAGGCGTTTGCCATACTGTTTAAGGTTACACGTCGGCTTATACAAGGTATCCTAGCATCTTTCCATTTGCTTCGCGCACTTGACAACGAACTCGATGTTGGTAACGATACCAAGTGCTTGGGTACGGCCCAACTTCACCACCGACTCTGGAGGGCGGCGGAATTGTCGGCCAGAGCGGTCCAGTAAATCCTTCGGGTGTTGGCCAAGTAGATAACGAGCACCGAGTGACCTTGGAAATCGCCAATGCAGACAGAGGTCGTAATCTTGGTGTCTTCCAGAAGCATGTGCTTAGCGCCAACGTTTCCAGACCAGACCATGACTGCATCCACTAAGTGAAAATCTTACCGACAAAGCGCTAGAGAGACATTTTGTTAGTGATTCCATCTCACAACAAAGAAGATGAAGTCTCCGGTTTTGATAGGGTTATCTCTTGCGAATGTGGATCGGTCCGACGTGTGTCGGGTGCGGACGAGTTTCTAATATTTTAGTCTTGGTGTGGAGCTGCCGAGCACGCGATATGTAATGTGAATTGAACAATGCTGTCGTGAGAGCGGCAATCAAGACTGGGTCCTTGTGGGCGCTGTGTGGAGTCTAGCTGTGTCGGGGTCTAGGACATGGCACCGTCAAGCGCGTCAACTCCTGCCACCCCAAAGAGCTGCCGGGCCGTGCACGAGCTGCCTAACGAGACGATGCGGGGGGGCAAAACCGCCGCGGCTGACCTGGCAGTCACGCAACCATTAATTCAGCTCCGCCGTGTCTTTACACCTGCAGCATCGCCTCATGCAACGCTGTGCTCCATCAGGTTGGAGCTCCCGTCTCTATTACGAGTGCAAAATAGCACACCCGAGGCTATTCGTAGGGCGTTGCTGATGATGGTGCGCTTTTTGTCGGTTCCCACAGACGTCAAATATGTCCCTTATCAGACTACCAGCGAATTAAGGATAGGCAACAAACTTGGCTTGTCATGCCAAGGTCGCCGCCAAGATATGCAGAGCAGGGTCAGTCCCACCAGTCCAACTGCATCAAGAAGGAGATACACGCGGAGAAGACAGACGCACCACCATGGCTCGCTGAACCGGGCGATTGGCGCTGCGGTCAAGACGCTCTAGAATGGATCTCTTCCCAATATTGGTTGATTCTGGTTTTACGCGTTCCACACCATCCCTTCACTGCAAACCTCTCTGCTTGGCCGTCTTGGGTTACTTCGCCCGCCGCGACAAGCCTCCCGGTTAGCTCGTTATCAGCACCGTTCCTTGGGACCACTATCTCGCCCTCCCCGCAGCCTCGGTCGTATAACAACCGGTCAACCCTGCTGCTCAGGCGCGCTCAAGGCTTTCTCGCTGCCTCACTCGCCTGTTTTTGAAGGACTTGTCGTCGATATAGTTCCTTTTTCCCCAACCCCAGGGTTTGAATTGCTACTTCTTGGGTTCGCGCTCGCGCCCCCGCAATCACCGCCCACTCTTACCTGTGCGCGGCTATCACCACAGCGCCCCATAGAGAGATAGTCAACCAGACTGTACACACCACATCTCGCTCAAAATGGCCATCTGGAACCGCAAGTCGAGTTCCTCTGACGGCGCAAGCCCTCACAACTCCGATCCTGAGTACGGTGTCAAATCCGAGTACCAGACGACGACCGGACAGGTCCCTGCCGTTGACAGTAATGGCGTTGCTGTCCACGCCGACCACTCGCATCTGCACCGTGGTCTCAAGTCGCGTCATATTACTATGATTGCCATTGGAGGGGCCATTGGAACTGGTCTCATCATCGGTACTGGCAAGGCTTTGGCACAATCTGGGTAAGTCGCGCAAACCTGCGTGTGTTTTGGTTCAAACTAATGACAACAGTCCTGGTTCAATTCTCATCGCCTACACTTCGGTCGGTCTCATCGTCTACGTCGTCATGACTGCTCTTGGCGAAATGGCTGCTTGGATCCCTCACGCTTCTGGTTTCGCTGGCTATGCTACTCGTTTCTGCGACCCTGCTCTCGGTTTTGCTCTTGGATGGACTTATTGGTGCAAATATGTCATCACAACGCCGAATCAGCTTACTGCTACCGCTTTGATTCTCCAAGAATGGAAATCCAGAGACGAAGTCAATCCGGGTGTCTGGATCGCAGTTTTCTTAGTCGCCATCATTGCCATCAATTACTTCGGTATCAAGTTCTTCGGTGAACTTGAATTCTGGCTCAGTTCAATCAAGGTCGTTACGATTGTAAGTGCTTTACTTTTAACACTCAAGCTTCAAACTAACTTGCAGAAAGGTCGGTGTCATCTTGCTCTCGTTTCTCCTCGCGGTCGGTGCTGGACCTGGTGGAGCGACTGGTTTCAAGTACTACGACGACCCCGGTGCTTTCAAGCCGTACATCACCACCGGATCCGCCGGCAAGTTCTACGGTTTCTGGAGCTCTTTGGTCAATGCCGTCTTTGCCTACCTTGGTACTGAACTCATCGGTGTCACCGTTGGTGAGGCCCAGAACCCACGCAAGACCATCCCTCGCGCGATCAAGCTTACCTTCTACCGGATCTTGTTCTTCTATTGTTTATCGGTGTTCTTCCTAGGAATGATTGTACCTTACAACTCCGAGGAGCTGGCCTTCGCAAACAAGGCTACTACTGGTGCCTCCGCTTCGCCCTTCGTTGTTGCTATTAAGCTTGCAAAGATCCCACACCTTCCAGGCCTTGTCAATGCTTGCATCTTGCTCTTCACTTTCAGCGCCTCGAACTCGGATCTCTACATCGCCTCCCGTACAATCTACGGTCTCGCTGTCGAAGGCCATGCTCCCAAGATCTTCCTCTGGACCGACAAGCGTGGTGTACCCGTACCTGCTTTGCTCATCTCTGCGCTGTTCTGCTGCACTGCCTTTATGAATGCTGCAGACGATGCTAAGGTTGTCTTCGGCTACTTCGTCAATCTCACGACCATTTTCGGACTTCTGTCCTGGATCTCGCTTCTGGTGTCACACATTTGGTTTGTTCGTGCGCGCCGCGCTCAGGGCATTACCAACGACCAGATGGCCTACCATGCTCCGTTCGGTCTGATTGGCTCCTACATTGCGTTGTTCTTCTGCATTCTCATCGCTTTGACAAAGAACTTCAGCGTCTTCACCAAGGGAAAAGCCTATGGCAGTTTCGACTACAAGAACTTCATCACTGGATACCTTGTAAGTTCCACAGCCTATTCCATCCAGCTTCGTTGCTAACCTATCACTTCAGGGCATTCCGGTCTATTTGATTTGCATTTTCGGTTACAAATTCATCATGAAATCGAAGATGGTCAAGCCTCACGAAGCCGACTTTTACACTGGCAAGGCCGAAATCGATCGTGAAGAGGAGGCTTTCCTTGCTCATGCCGCAGAGAAGAGGGCTACCGAGGGCAAGGGCGGCAGTTGGTTCTATCGAACCTTCGTCGCATGGTTGATTTAGAAGCGTTACCAGCGGGTCCATTCGTTTATTCATTGGATACCATTGCCATGCATGAAATACTAAAGGTGCTGTCGGTGACCTCGCCTAATGCAACAAAATAATTCGATCCCACCAAAGTCTCCAAATATTGGTCTTTTCAACATTTTTGCCATTCTATCTGTTTCCAGGGCTTTTGATATGTAATTGGTGTAATGCTGCTTTGGCTCGTGATTTACATGTCAGTCCTGCAACAAGATATCGGTGCTTTCGCACCACGAATATCCGAACAACATATGTGCAACTGTGTCTTTACTCGCCAATTGTGTGTATTGCATACCATGTCGCCGCCTTCTCCACTCGGTTGGTTCGTCTGCCAAGCCAAATCGCGATACGTACTCCGCTGTGTGGATCGCGC